TTACCTCCAAGGAGGTCGGAGCGCAAACGAAGAAAACCAAAGAACTTTCAGGTAAACCCACAGTTGTGTCGCTATTAATTTTCTTTCCAAGGGGAGGTGTTAGGATATTCACAGGAATATCCCAAAAATTATCTCGAATGTAAATTGGCATGTCTTCAGTCTCTTCCCATATTTTACATGTTATTTCCTATTGGCCATTATTACAGTTGTCCTAACTATGACTTTCATGTGTCGTTTCCCTATTGGTCAATTTTGAGTTGTCCTAATTATAACCTTTACGTGTCCTTCCTTTCCATTGGTTACTGTTAATAGTCATCTTAACTGTATAAATATGCCTTTTCTGTAAACCATTTTTGTTCTGCTGCTGACCCCATAAACAATTCTCATTTAACGGCTGTGTTCTGATTTACTGGAGTTGGGGGACAGTATTGGGGTCGAACTAGGATATCTGAATATGGTCAATCGGTAGAATTTCGTGTAGTCCTATCACAATACGCAATATTTAGCAACGCTATATTTCGCGACGTAATATTTTAGGCGAATTTATATTTCTTTCCGCCAGATGCACTGTGTGCTAGTTGTGTTGTTCGATGCACTGTCGGTCGCCCAATCTTCCTCCAAGTTTCTGGGCTTATTAAAGTAATATCAGAAACTGTATCAAGCTGAAGTCGAGTACGGCGTTTATTAATATTCAAGGTTACGTACTTTCTTTGGCGGCAACTTCGTGCTATGTTATGTGATACCAATATTCTTTTCGTTACTGCGCCAGACCTGTATTTCTTGAAGTAAGGTTTTGCAAAATGTCATTTCTGGATTCTTCTTCTGCAGTTTGTTTCTTTATGCCCCTTTCGATGACATTTACTGCAACGATGTTCTTTAAATGGGTAAAACCTCTGACAGTGCCAACCTCCACTTAACCAGCATGGAGATGTGGGCTGGTTGTCTGTGAGCGACACATTTTTTGGGCAGAATTCTTTCTTTTCGCTTACAGCATGAACATGTGGCAAACGGTTATTATTTTCGACCATGTAAGTATCGTGTTTCAAGTTTACCAGTCTTTGGCACTCTGTAGTAACTTCTTGTAGTGTTATGTTTGGACACTGTTCAATTTTACCCGAAATTCTGGTTCTGATATCAGCATCTTCGGAAGATTGTAGACTACACACAAATACGAGGCATTTAAACTGATCTTCTGTCATAGTTGATTATTTGAAGCGCTCACACTCACGATTTCCTAAACCTGCATGCTTCACCCAGTCATCATCAGCTGCTTTTGTTATCTTCAGACACTGATAACGAATATTGAATAAGGACGACTGTTCAGCAAAGATTTGTGACAAAATCTCAATGGTTTCATCAAAAGTAAAATCTCTTGGGTTCTTTGGAAGAATGAAATTACTGTAGCCTTCATGTTCAACTGTGCCAAGTTTTCTTAAGAGTATAAAACCTTGGCGGCGTCATCAAGTTTTCTGAGGTCGGCAATCTTCGTATTTCTTAAACCAGGTTTCGAAAGTAATGCCAGCCGAACCATCGAAATTAAACTGATGGATAGAATTAATAATATGGTCGACATTAGATTTGGAAGCATCATCTGTAGCACCAGTTTGACTTAGGTTCAATTTCTGCGTTAAAGTCTCTATGATACGAACCTGGAACTGCTTAAATCGTTTCTCTTGACGCTCCAGCAAGGCTTCAAATTGTTCAAAGGTAAATGACATCTTGATAAGCTAACCCCGCCGCCAGTTGTTGTATCTCGAACTTAGAATTCTTAGTCTATCACACAATACTTGAGCAGTCGAACGCTGGAACCCTCCCAAGTTACAAATCAAAAGACAGAAGACAAGTAGAAGGTATGTTATTCCAGACAGTGTCGAATATGGTACAAAATTATCAGGTATTTATAGTTTTTAGTAGAAACAAAATCATCATTATAGTTATCCAATCCGCAGACAGGGAGTTATCAGCATTGTCCAATAGGGAAGCTCCACATGGCAATTCTGGAATATTCTTCCAAAAGCTGATTGGATGGAACATGTTGGGCTCCTTCTGGGCTTCCTAGAGCCTCCTCGACTTCACCTGTGGACCATCCTCACAATTATCGACAGTGTATCCCATGAGAATGGGACGTATGAATTAGTTTGCTGCCGCCTGAAATGCAGGGGACAAGAGTTGCTGCTTAGTTTGATCTATCGCAGTCCAAGCTATGAGGTAAACGAGGTCCTGCTAAGCAGTCTCAACACTTTATCACGAAGTGATCGGTGTATAATCCTAGAGGACTTTAATGCACCCATGGTGGACTCGGGAAGTCTGCGGATTAAATCGTCAGGAAAATCCCTTTGAACAGGAACTAGTTGATGCGGTAATCACATGAGCCCTAGTGCAACACATGAAGGAAGCAACTAGGTACGACCCGGGTTCTGCATCATCCTTACTAGATCTTATATTGACTCATTATGAGGATGATGTTGCAAACCTGGATTACATGCCACCCTAGGCAAAAGTGATAATGCAGTTTTAACCTTTGACTTCCATATAACTGTCGATCACGAGCACGCCTCAGCTCAATCCAGACCTAACGTCTGGAAAGCAAACATACCAGACATCATGAAATCAGCGTCATCAGTAGATTGGAAAATAGACCCAGTCATCAATCGAAACGGCTTGGGAAGTATTCCGGAATTTATACTTAAAAGTTACCGCCCCCCACATCCCTTAGACTACACCTAAGAGACCGAGAAACTCCCCACCGTGGTTCAGTAGGGAGGTTCGCATCCTTCTCCGTAAAAGAAGAAAATGTGGGATAGATTTAGGTTACCGAGGACTGACGAGACAAAATCTCAGTGTCAAAAGGCTGTGCCTCGACCCTCCGTAAGTCCTGAAAAATCATTAAGTAATCCATAGAATGCCCTAAACGCTTGTATTCGTATATAAACCAAAGGACAAAAAGAAGAAGAAATGTTCCTTCATTATGGGGAGACAGTACCGCCTCATCACTAGTGGAGGACGACTTTGGTAAAGCTCAAGTATTCTCTAAATACTTTAGCAATGTACACACCATGGGAACACCAGTCCATGAAAATCCCCCCACACAAACACTGAACAGCGTGGCCATTAAAGAACTCAATGTCTTTGATCTGCTAGTTAAGCTTGACATAGGTAAATCCACTGGACCCGATGAACTGCATCCTAGGTTACTAAAGGAATTAGCTAACTTTGTTGCGAACCCTTTAAGTGTATGTTTTAATCTATCCGTAACTCAGGGTCGCCTACCAAAAGATTGGAAGAACGCCATAGTAAGCCCAGTCTTCAAAACAGGTACAAAACATAAGCCTGAGAATTACCGACCAATTAGCCTAACTAGTGCGGCTGTTAAAATCTTAGAAAAGATTATTCGGAAGTAGTTGTTAAAGTATCTCGATGAAAACCGGATCCTCTCCGAAAAGCAGCATGGTTTTAGAACAGGTTACTCTTGTCTCACAAACATATTAGTCGCTCGTGAAAGCTGGTGCGCTCCTAAGGACCAAAAGTTACCTATAGACGTAGCTTACATCGATTTCAGCAAAGCCTTCGACAAAGTTCCGCATAACCGACTGTTATATAAGCTAAGGAATGTTGGGATTGGAGGCAATCTATTGATGTGGATAAAATACTTCCTAGTTGGGTGTCAACAAAGAGTAAGAGTGAACTCCAAGTTGTCTAGCTGGGAAACTGTGCTTAGTGGAGTCCCCCAGGGTACAGTTTTGGGGCCAGTGTTATTCCTCCTGTACGTAAAGGACCTCCATCGTCTACTATCGTCATCGGTCTTACTCTATGCCAATGATGTCAAGATATGGAGAGCGATACAAAGCAAGGGCGATAGCTTAGAACTTCAAAATGACCTGGAGAGATTGTCTGAATGGTCCCAAACCTGGCAATTGCCGATAAACACTTCCAAGTGTATTGTGATGCATATTGGCCACCAGGGTACAGATACATACACGATGAATAACACTGAGTTACCTATTGTCCAGGCACACAATGACTTAGGGGTCATCGTTAGTCAAGATTTAAAGACTACTGCACGCTGCCGTGCAATAGCCACCAAAGGTTTCAGAACTTTATGGTCCATACGCAGGGCTTTTAGGCATCTCGACGCTAAAACGTTTCTGACTTTGTATACAGTGTTCGTACGCCTTAAACTTGAGTACTGCATATAAGCAGCTAGCCCCTGCCTAAAAAAGGACAGTGAACTCTTGGAAAGGGTTCAGAGAACAGCAACTAGGCTGATTCCCGGAATAGCGAAGCTCCCGTATGGTACTAGGCTGACCAAGCTAAACCTATTCCCGCTGTCATATAGAAGAATCAGAGGCGACTTGATTACAGTTTTTAAATTGCTTAATGACAAATTTGCACCTGATACGCCCTCATTTTTCCTGTCTTCCAAAAGAGAAAATCTACGAGGACACTCCAAAAAAGTTCACAAGCCCAGAACGAATTACTTGTCAGCTGACTACCGACTTTCCCATCGAATAATCAATGAGTGGAATTCATTACCTCAGCACGTGGTTGAGGCTCCATCCGTCGACTCCTTCAAAAGAAATTTGGATCAGCTGAGAGACCATCATTGCCAGGACTAACACAGGCCATCAAGCCTCCTGTCCTTTCCAAACTGAAACTGAAACTGAAACTTTAAAAGCCGTTTAGGACGTATCGAAAGTGACTTTGAAGAAGTGTGTACAGAAGCTTCAAATTCGTTCAATAAACCTCAAAATGATTAAGAGTCCTTTGCTTCATTTCTTGGCGACGGATTATTATGCGCAACACTTGAAGATCCCTTTATAGAGTTGAACATCTTATAAAACCTTTTTAATGGTATTTCTGATTTATTTCTCTCTGAAGACCTGAACTTCTAACTGGTTTTATTTTCAAATACTACTGCATCTGATCGAACACTAGGTTATCCATTAGTAGTTTTTGTTTGTACCAGTCACCAGTGAGCGAGATTTGGTCTTTCTCCGAAGATGGCGTCGTCCTCTGCAGCTGAGGGCATGTCCATCACTAAGGGAGGGAGTATATTAGTGAAAGTGGAAGATCTCACTGGAGAATTAATTTCTGTCAAGCTTATAGATGGGGATAAAATCTTCCGTGGAATATTACTGCAAGAAACTATTGGGTAGGGTAGTTTGATCGATTTTTCGAAACACTTTATTACCCATCTTGAGATTAACCGGGTCTAATAAAGGTCAATGATACCCAGTAATCCACAATTTCCTGCTACTTATTAAGCCCTGAGATAAGGTTCTAGTTATTTGGCCAGATACATTTAATAGTTCGATTTCGAAATGTATATGCGTCACATAGTTAGTCCGTCTTCACATATTATCAGACTTAGGCAAAATGCCTTCTAGTTAACTTGATTATAGTTGCTCGAGATTCATATTTTCATAGTGTTGGTGTCATACACAGTTATTCATAACGAGTTGTGGTACTCCTCTCTAGGATGCTTATAAGCTTCACGCTTGTAGTCACCTAGGGTTCAGATCTCAAGTCCCCTTGTTAGTTATTCTCGTTGAAAGGAGAAATCACTCACTTGTCACTATATAACGTCCTTTTTCGCCCTCCATTTAAATTTATCTAAAAAAGCGTCTAGAGTGAGTTTTCGAGTCGCCATATAGTTTATATTTTCAAAATACTTGTAACTGCTGAAGTGCTCACTGTGTTAATTTTCTTTTCTTTGCTATTTTGCGGTCTGATGAAGGTTCGTTTCTGTGCAAACAGTTAGTCAGTAACATTAGTCCTTTACGTTTGCTTAGACATCCGCTTCAAGCTTAGTAGGTTAAAATACATTTCCCGGAATTCTTAGAGATGTATGGTAGAATACCTAAAAAAAATAAAAGTGGTACTAAAGTATGACAATGGTTTTTATCCGTATAGAGAGTATTGGCTTGTATGTTAACAAGGCAGATGATAGTCAAGTCATGCGCTTAATCAGTTGGTAATTAGTGTTCATGGCATAGCATGCGCTTTGCATCTTCCGGGTGAAAGTGCTTCAATAAGACTGGCAGGACCCTAAAATTGCACTCAGATAGTGGTCGAGAACTTCGTGTATGTGGGTAGCTGCGTGAGTGCTAGTGGTGGTATGAGTGATGACATCAATTCATATATACTGGAATCCAGAACGCCTCTTCCACGGTGTGGGCAGCCGGGAAGTGATAAATTCTCTCATACCCGTAACAGCACACGACACCAAGTTGGTCACTTTCAAATCCTTCCTACACCTAACAACTCTCTTATCTCTACGACTAACCCTTCCCACGTCCTTCTATCACCTCGCACCGCTAGGGCAAACGATTCGTGTACACGGAACGTTATTCCTGGTCTCCTGAAACCTCACTCTAAACTACATGTAGGAACTTTTAATGTCCGAACATTGTGCCAAATAGTACAACAGGCTTCCTTAGCTAGGACTCTAGAATCTTACACCATCGATGTATGCTGTGTCTCCGAAACGCGCATACAAGATCCGAGTAGCGTCATTCATTTGACCTCACCTAATCTAAATAAAGAACCATCTCGATACACGCTTCGTGTATCTGGAAGCCCTGATGCTGCTTCCCGTGGCCTCGCTGGAGTAGGTATAGCATTAAGTCCTAGGGCAGAACTATCTCTTTTAGTCTGGATCCCAGTAGACAGTCGTCTATGCGCTGTCCGACTAAACGGATCGGTAAGGACTCGGAAAGATAGGGAAACTCGTTGTCTCTTCGTCATCTCTACTCCAGTCTGGGCACCTGAGCAGTATCACAGCCCTCACACAAATCGAATGAGATTTGTGAGGCGCATATTTATCTGGTGCTTCCTTGTACCAATATTTATGTGTTTAAATAAATAAGTAAATAATACTACCCTCCCACTGACTGTAGCTCAGACGATATAAAAGATGAGTTTTACAGGAAACTTTCTGACCTCCGAAAAGCTAGGCGCTCTGATGTAGTAATAGTGGCTGGTGACTTTAATGCTCAAGTAGGTAAACTAGGTGAAAGACACCTGGGAGGATCTTATGGTGTCATGGCGGAAAGAACAGATAATGGCGACCGTTTGTTGCAGCTGTGCTCAGATAACCGCCTATTTATTGCAAATACTAACTTTAAGCATAAGGAAAAACATCTTTTGACATGGCGACCCCAGAATTCGTCCCAACGTTGGACCCAATTAGATCACATCGCTATCAGCCACCGATGGAGGGGCTCGATAGGAGACTCGCTCATTCTTGGGCACATGTTTAGATTCAGATCATGCTCTAGTGCGAGCACGTATCTGTCTGCGACTTACTGGACGTAGGAAAGACACTGTAGGGAAGCCTCTAAGGGTTCTACTTAATGATAAGCAAGCTAAGAATGTATTTCATGAACAACTGGAAAAACAGTTAGACAGACATGTAAGTTGTGTCCACCCCGAGGCAGCGTGGAATGACATCCGAAAAGCTGTGAAAACAACTGTGATATCCGCTAGTAAGGTGAACCATAACGTTAGGGAGAAACAATGGATCTCGGCAGCATCTACCGCACTGTTAAATGCTCGAAAACTCATCCCTCCTGGCTTTGAACATAACGAAGAGCGGAATCAGCTTAAGCGAAGGCTAATAAGAAGCCTACGCAATAATCGTGAACAGTGGTGGGTAGCGAAAGCAGGAGAGATGGAAAAGGCAGCGGCAATAGGTAACAGCAGACAGCTGTTCAGACTTATTAAAGAAACCGGCATTAGGAACCCAACTACTAGCGGAACTATCTCAGACAAAGACGGACATATCATTCATTCTCAATCCAGGAGATTGGATCGATGGGCAGAACACTTTGGGGATCAGTTCAACTGGCCTTCAGCCACACTTCAGTTACCCACGATCCCCAGTCGTCATGAATGGCAAATTGAGGTAAGTCCTCCAACTCTCTACGAGGTTGAAAAAGCTATAGGGAATCTAAAGCGAGGGAGAGCCGCAGGCCCTGACACGTTTACCCCTGAGATTTTTAAGGATGGTGGTCCAGTACTAGCAACGAGATTGACTGAGGTTTTAGGTAGAATCTGGGAACTGGACGTAATTCCATCTGACTGGTCCCAATCACTGATTGTGCCAGTTTATAAGAAAGGACAAAAGTCCTCCTGTGACAATCACAGAGGAATTAGTTTGACTAATATAGTGTCTAAAATATTAGCTTCAATAATACTTGGACGCCTAACCAAAGCTCGTGAAGAGCAGACTAGAGAAAACCAGGCTGGTTTTCGATCTGGACGTGGTTGCATAGACCAGATATTCACCCTACATCAGGTCCTAGGACATAGACATACATTCAGACGTCCCACAATAGTAGTATTTCTCGACCTTAAGGTGGCATTTGACTCAGTTGATCGTGAGGTTCTATGGCATTGTTTGTCAGTGAAAGGAGTACCAAAGAAGTACATTAACCTCATAAAGGCTCTCTACCCAAATGCCCTGGTACGGCCGAGAGTGGGTAGAGTCACCTCTCCCTCTCGAAATGCTCTCATATGGCCAGCGAATATATAGCCTCTGCCAGGGAAGTCCTACTCACTGCCTTCTCGTGACGGGGGTGTTGTTTACGAAAGTGAGAGGACGAAAAGCGAATGTCCGGCGCTTTAACCGGGTTGGTGGACATGGAAAGTTCACCTAGGGGAGTTGGAAAACCCTGATTCCAAAGCAGTGGTGCACATGGGCTCCAGTATACTGACGGAACAAATGGCGTACGAATCAACCGTTGATCACCGGCTACCATGGGACTGCATCTCCTCACGATGCTCCACTGCCTTGTGGATCAGACATTCAGGTCAAAGGCTCCGGGTGTGGCCCCCTAAGAAAACCACCTGCTTCAGTCTGGGCACCTGGGCAGTATTTCAGCCCTCACACAAATCGAATGAGATTTGTGTGGCGCATATTTATCTGGTGCTTCCTTGTACCAATATTTATGTGTTTAAATAATAATAATAACTCGAACACAACTGATCGAGTTAGAGCCTATGGCGAACTGTCATCAGAATTGGTTACCTCAAATGGTGTTCGTCAGGGCTGTCCGCTCTCCCCATTCTTGTTTAACTTTGTCGTTGACATGCTTTTAGAGGTATCACTTTCATCATCTCAATCTCCTGGATTTGAACTTTTGCCAGAAGGCTCACTTGTTGACTTAGAAAACGCCGACGACATAGTTTTATTCGGTGAAGGCTGACAAAATGCAGAGTCTTCTGACGACTATAAGCAACAATGCAGGCATGTTCGGGATGCGATTCTCTCCCTCGAAGTGCAAAATGTTACTTCAGGATTGGGTTGCATCGACACCTGAACTAATGATAGGGGGTGAAGTAGTTGAGCATGTTGACAGCTTCACTTATCTTGGGAGTCTCGTAAGCCCTTGTGGTCTGGTGCGTGACGAAATCTCAGCACGGATACAGAAGGCTCGTATAGCTTTTGCCAACTTGCGTCATTTATGGCGTAGGCGAGATATCCGTCTAGCAACAAAAGGACGGGTTTACTGTGCGGCAGTCCGTTCCGTCCTACTTTATGGAAAAGAAACATGGCTGATAAGAGTATAGGATATTCGTAGGCTACTAGTGTTCGATCATAGGTGTCTTCGACGCATTGCTCGTATATCCTGGGACCACCGAGTAAGTAATGCAGATGTTAGGAAACGGGTACTAGGTAAGGATGGCAAATCGATTGATGAAGTAGTGAAACTTCACCAGTTGAGATGGCTGGGACATGTGTTACGTATGCCCAACCACCGACGTGCAATGCTTTATGGTGTAGGAGCAGGTTGGAAGAAAGCTAGGGGCGGCCAGACCAAAACATGGCATAAATCCATGAAGTCACTGACAATTTGACTGAGCCATGTTGGTAGGTGTAGACTACCTGGTTGGGATTCGCGAGATGACAGCAACCAATGGTTAGAGACCTTGAATGACATGGCTCAAAATCGTTTGCAATGGCGAAGGTGCATCTACTCTTTGTGTTCTACCAAATTCTAATCTGAATTCTTCATATCTGTATCCTTTTTCTCTTTCCAAATTTATTTCACTGTATTATACTCTTTCAATAACATTTGAATGGACTTCATCTCTGTGCTAATGTGGTATGGCAACTCGAACTGATGTACGTACGTACGAAGTTCTACG